TATTTTTCTTTCTCTTTCTGGCTTACTTCACTTAGAATGACATTCTCCAGGGCCATCCGTGTTTCTGCAAATGGCATTATTTTATTAGTTTTTATGGCTGAGTGGTATCCCATTGTATAAATATACCACAACTTCTTTATCCAGTCATCTGTCGATGGACATTTAGGCTGTTTCCATTGGAGACTTAGTTTTGAGTCTTACTATTTATTACTGTTTATTGTCATGAAGAAGCTTTTTGACTGCTTCAGTTTCCTCATATTTAATATGAGTCAATTAAATGATAGTGAACTTTGTCTTTTCTAGTTCATAAGGTAGTCAATAAATTCTTAGAACATGGGTTCCAGGACTAACTGTTAAGGTAGAATAATAATAATCAGCATCCATTAAACAACCACTGTGTGCCAGGGATCTTTGCAATCCCGCAACCGCCCCACAAGGTAGATACTGTTCGTCCTGTTCCCCCGGTGGGGGAACTTGAGTCTTAGGAAGGTTGAGAAACTTGTGCAGAATCAAAGCTTATAAATGCTGCCTCTTGATAGGCTCACATTTATGAGTTAGAACAGAAGGTAGTTATGAAGTCATAGAAAAGAGGATTATAGAGGAAATATTTGCAGCATCATTCGTACCTTAGCAGGAGTTCTGAAATGCATTGCAGGCAAAACGGAGCTGCATCAGGAAAATTAACATCCATCAGAAACCTATTATATAATTACGCGAGAATGAATGAGTGTGTTTCCAATCTCATGAGACCGTAAACTTTGTTACCTTGTTTTTCTGAAACAGTTATATTTCCTTTAGTTTGTAAAAGTTAGGATAAAAGTCCAGTTGCAGCTCGTTGTAACTGTTCAGCTTTTCTTCTTTATCCTGTATTGAAGCCTTGGGGAATTCTTTGCGGATGACTCATATTCATTCTCTTTTATATCTACAACAAAACATGGAGGAATTTCACATTTTCTGTAGCTTTTGAGTGCTGTTCTCTTCATCAGTGCAAAAAAAGGAAATATTCAGCAGCAGAAGCAGAGGTTTGTGACTCTGTGTTTTAAAAAAGATTTAGTATCGTGATGCTTTGTTAAATGAAGAGTAACAGAAATTGCATCTTGAATGCAGCACAGTGTTGTCTAAAACAACACAACAAGATATTGAGTTCAGCCTGATACAATGTGTAGGTTCAGAAAGCATAGAATAGATTTACAGAGCAGAACTCCCTTAGAGAGAAGGACTTGGAAGAAAAATTGTTTGTTTAAACAAGTAGTCACTTCCCACTGAAATTCAGTTACTTCTAGATATGTGCAAAAAAAATAAATAAAATGTTCAAGTGATATAAAGTGTGTGACAAGTTTCATTTAACTAGTTGATTTCAAGTTTTCAAAAGGTCGATGATGAAACTTCAATTCTCGGGATATATTACAGGATTCTTGCAATCACTGGAGTAGAGTGAATAATACTTTTTAATGTTTAGAAAACACTTTTCAGTAAACCAAATATGTATGGGTCTGGAAGTGACCAGAGGAATTATTCACATAGCCACATCTGTATCTTTCTAATAATTTCAAATGGGTTTTGTAGAAAATAAATACTCCTGTACCTTTGTCCTTTATTTATAAAAGAAATTCGTTCAAGGTCCATTTCTCAGGAACTGTGATTTAGGTTATTTGACATCTGAGTCTCAAAGCTGAAAAGATTTCCTAGAGAGAAAGCAGTGCTCAGAAAATAAATTGATGGCAATTGGTTCTTACAAAGTTATACTTCTCTTTTTTTTTAATTAAATTTGGCCTTTCCAATTTTTTTTTTCCTAAATGACCTGTCTTAAGTATTTTAGATAAAAGCCTTCTAGTCTAAACTTGATGTTGGCACCTGAAAAGTTCACAGTAATAACTTCATCTAACAAAATCAGTTAAATTTATGTAGTATTTTAGCGTTTGTGGTCCATAGCATGTAGGAAGTGACTCATTTTTGTGGAACCCAAAGAGTGAATATTCTTACTTACTAAATCCAGCTTTTAATATGTGTAGATGGTCTTTCTTGGATAAAAGCGTTAATTAAAAAAACGTTATTTTAACTTAATGCCTTTCAACTATGCTTCAGGAACGAACACAGTAGGAAGAATCATCTATGGTGAAGGTAACAGTGATGCACACTGAATGCTCTTATGAGGCTGCTTCTGAGACAGGGACGTCAGGACAATTAGCATACTTGTGTCTCCTGGCAAGAAGTTGATGGCAAGCCAAAGCAGAAATGAATTCAGTTCAGCAAACACTTGCTATCAACTCTTAGTCTAGCATTATTTAAGGTTCTGGGCTTCAAGGTATGATGTCCCTGTCTTCGTATAAATTAAAATTGTTTTAGGGAAAAGATAATTATACACAACCAAAATGGAGACGCGTAGGATAGTAACTGATTAAGCGTCACAGGTAATGACTGTCATAGACATGTGGAAGGGGACAAGTTCAGTGTGCTGTGATACGAAGGTTTTACAGAGCTAAGATGGGTCTTGAAGTTTGAACAAAACTTTGATGGTCGTTTTTATTTGATGATCATTTTTCATGGGAAAGAAAAATGTGACCAAGGCAGAGTGCTACTGTTACAGAGAGTAGGTTCGTGTCTCACTGCAGAAAGAATTGAGAGACAAGATGCAGAGGCCAAGAAGGCAAAGCAAGAACTTATTAGGAGGCTAAATTCTCAGGAGGGTGAGCAGGCAGACTCAGGTGAGCAGCTGCCCCGAGTTTCTTTGGCAGGCTGGTTATATCGGGTGTAAAATGACTGGGTGGAATATTCATTGAGGAGGGAGGGATTTGGGTCATATTTCCTGATTTTCATCCCAGCTCTGCCTTCATAAGGGGAGGAGGGCTTTTTTGTCCTTATTTGATCTTGATTGGAAATGTGGCGTGGTGCAAGAGGAATATTTCTTATTTGCAAGACTAGTTTCATTGTAATGAGGGCATAACGAGAAAAAGGTTCCTTTTGGACCCTGGAGATTCCTGCCTTTCTTTTGCCCTCTAGGCCCCGTGTCATTTCAAGATAAGTGATTTCCTGCCACATGGCCCATGCCCCCCCTTTCTCTGCTGATACCTTGCTAACTGCCTGCTTTAACACTAGCTCAGAAGACTGAAAAGTCTGAATGAATGTTCTTTAAATAGAAAAGATGGAGCCAGATTGTAATGAGCCTTGAATTCTGTGCTTCTGAGTTGGGTATCACTGGCAGCAGGAAACCCCTAAAGCAACAGAATGTGTCTTAACAAGCGATGCTATTAAGGACGATGAACTAAGTTGATTGGAGCAGAGCTGAGAATAAAAAAAGACATAATTAGCATCTGAAATGGGAAGCAGTTTCATGAGACTCACTCCTAAGCTTCGGCAATGTGCACTGAGTGTCAGAATTCAGTTAAATTATAGGATACCCAGTT